CAAATGCAAGGTCATGAGTTCCATCCCTGGTTCTAAAAAAAAAATAGTAAGTAGGAAGACAGTTTTTTTGTTTTTTGTTTTTTTTTTTCTTTAGGTAAGGCCTTGCTATGTGGTCCAGGCCAGCCTTGAACTTGCTGTGTAGCCCAGACAGGCCTTAAACTTAATTCTCCCATCTTAAACTCTCAAGTGTTGGGATTACAGGCATGTGGCACTATGCCCAGCTAGAGGAAGCCATTTTTTAAAATGATGCCAGATTCTGTTGGCATGAGGACAGGAAGATATCCAAAAAACAGTGCAATAAGAGCAAGGAGCTTCCAAACTGTGGACAGCATCCTGATTACTGACAGGCATGCAGTGCTTTAGAAAGGCAACGCATTTGGCCTTGGAGACTCAAGTTTAAAAATATTCATGTTCTTAGGAAACAGGACACCACTACCTATACCTCATCACCTAATAGCGACTGTGAACAGGAGTGTGGTACAGGCAAAATACTGCAATTAACACAAATTATAAGCATTACTCATTAAACATTTATTAAAACCTAAAGTGGTGGCACAAGCCTATAATCCCAGCACTTAGTGAAGTAAAATGCTCTGACCATCTCTACTGGAGTAATCCAAAACTAAGAAACAATTATTATTGGACAACACCAGAGAAGCTCAGGGACAGAGGCTCCAGGACGGAAATGTTAAAAGGAGTTTTCCAGACGTGGTGGCACACACCTGTAATCCCAGCTATGCAGGATTATGGGAGTCACAAATTGGAAGGGCAGCAACATATCAGACCCCATCTCAAAAGTAAAAAATAAAATAGGGGCAGTTAGACACCACAGGACCCTGACCTCATACACTGAGGCAAACCACAGCCTGCCTCTGCCAAGCTGACCCTGTCCTGACACACTAGGGAAGCAGACACTTTGTCAACACACTGGGCTCTGAGAGGAGCGTGATGAAGGACACCACTGAGGGCTTAGTGGAGGTCTGCGTCCTCGGCAGTACAATGAGGCCTCCGACCTAATTTGCCTAATGTAAAAGGTCACAAACCGTTTTGGGTCTGAGTTCCCACTGCACCATGTGCTGCTTTCACAACAAAAGCAGTGAATTATTTGTCCAATATTTGATACAAGTCCCTCTGACAGTCATTTATGTGTCAGGGAGAGATCTGATTTGCTCCACCCCCACCCAGCACAATCACAGTGCAGGGGACGCATGCGTCGCTCAGGTACCGATACACAGATGACTGAGTAAATTAAAGAATGGTGTCCACACTTCCTGGGCCACAAGTGAAGAACTGTCTGGGGCTACCTATAAAATATGTAATACGGTTCATGTATATACAGTAATAAACTGCCTTTATTGTGTTTTTTTTTTATAACAAATACAAGCCCAAGTTTAACAATTAAGAAAACTTTCACGCCTGCTAAGTAACAATACATGCCTGTCTCCACAGCAGTGCGTGCGCACGCACACACAGGCTGAAATACTATTAGCGGCTTTACTCGCCAAGTCACAAGTACATGTGAGGTCTGATACACGTAGCTTTCTATTTGACTGCGACAGGCACAGGAGTCATCAGCACTACACAGCGTCACCTACGGTCTGTGTTGGAACTGGAGCATCATACAACTAAGTTATGAAAAAAATAATGTGAAAAGGTTACAGTCTCATGGGGCCATGTTACCAGCCATGAGGATCTGCATGGGGCCCGGGGACCATGGACAGGATATAGGTGAATTAAAGGATTAAAAGTATGTACTTGCCTGGAAAACAGAGCTGTCCCTGGAGTGAGGGCACTTCCAGGCAGAGGCTGAAGCCTGATTACAGTGAACAGGACCAACAGGACACAAGGGGTTGAATCACCAATCTCAGTTAAGGGGCCAGCTCTCATACCATGTACGTAAGCAACAAAACTCCCAGTCTGTGACCATCAAAACTGAGGTAGGCTAAATGCATGTACTAGCATATCCTTTTAGAGCATGTCATAGTCAGGGTTTATACGGGAAAGAATTGAATACAAGACACATAACTTCCAGGATTATTTTGTGACAGTCACCCAAACAGTCAAATGTAAAAGAGTGCAGGAAATCTGTCCATACACTAGACCCAAAGACTCCAGCTGAGGGCCTGGGTCCCATGGTAATGTCCTGCCCAAATCCAGCTGAAGGCCTAGAGCCCATGACAATGTCTCATGCAAGTCTGTTTCATGGATCTGCCCTGGGGAGGCACAACGGTCAGTGCACCTGCGAGATGAAGGATCTGTGCCAGCAGGCTGAGGGCTCTGTACTGGAGTCAGGAAGTGATGCTCAAAGGTAAGGATCAGAGCACCCCAAAAAGAACCACAGCAACAATGAGATCCCAAGCTCCTCTGATGATGACAATGACCGAGTTCGTGTATCAGGGTGCCAGCACAAGCTTCTCCAGGGCGACCAACAGCAGCACCTCTTCCTCTGCAGTTCTCTTTTGATGCTGTTGGCAACAAGCCTCAGAGGACCTTCCACATCCAGAGCTGCGCTGCTTCAGTTCTTCTGGGCACTACAAGTTGGTCACCAGTTGTCAATCTGCCACAGAGCCTGCCCTTTGGAGTCACACAGTCCTACAACTGAACTCTAGTTCTATTTCCCTGCAGGACTTTAGTAGAAAAAGCCTTAGCCGTTATCTTCATCTGCAATACAGAACTGACAGCACCTGCCTTGGAAGGTGCTTGAGGGTTTCAAGTAGATGATAGAAGACTCTCGAAGGTACAGTTAAAAGTATGTGCTGCATTCCTCTTACACTGAAGCAGGTTCTGGCTCACATATGTTGTTTACAGACCGACTACCTATCCAAAACTATAATTCCTGAATTCAAGCCCATATGACAACTAGAACTTGACACCTGGGCAATTTCAGTTAAAAAAAAAAAAAAATATATATATATATATATATATACATACATATAGCTATATAGTTCTATATGTATATATAGCTACATATATAGTTATATATATAACTATATATATAGTTAAAGGGAGAGTTAGAGATAACACCTTGGGAATTACATTTAAATAAAACCTTAATTGTTAAAAATTACACACCTGGGGCTGGGGATTTAGCTCAGTGGCATAAGCGCCTGCCTTGCAAGCAGGCAGTTGTAAGTTTGATCCCTGGTACCGATAAAAACGAAAAAGACAAAAAAAAAAAAAAATTACACACCTCTTCATTAAGTACTGATATCAGCACTCCATGTTTAAGAATAAAGCTGAGTGTGTGCCTAGCATACATGAGATTTAGATTTGATCCTCAGTCCTGCAAAAAAAGCCAAGCTTTATTTAGTTTTTGATTAGCATTTTGATTAGTTCAAACTAGCCTTTCCACAAGGTATACATATTTCAAATTACACAACATGTACATTTTTGTCAAAATAATTTTTAAAAGCAAATAAATACCCTTTTATGTGCAGATATGTCTGGAAGACACAGAGAGGTTGCCTCAGTTGGGGCTTGGGGCAGTTAAGATTACTCTGTAATTCACCTTTATTCTGTTGGATTTTATTACTACATGCATATTGTACCCCCACAGAACAAGGTGTAAAAGGGTATGTTTCAGTCAGGTCTTTCTGGCTCATGGTTTGCGGTTTCAGTCCACAGCCATCTGGATTCAGGGCAGAAACATCCTGTGGGGTTGGGGGGGACGTGGTGGAGGAAAACTGGCCAATTCTGGGCAGCCGGGAGGCACAGAGTAGGAGTCCGAGAGAGAGGAAGGAGTCACAGCCAAGGGTACATCCTTCCTCGCTGCACGGCCAGGGACTCACTTCCCCTACCCAGTCCAGCCTCCTCACAGCCCATCCAGCTAGGACTCATCAGTGAATTCATCCAGTAATGAAATTAGTCCTCCACTATCTCATCACCTTTCCAAAGTCCCACCTCTGAACACACGTGTCTTCTGGGGGGCACTTTTGACCCAAACCATTACTGTGTGTTCATGACTTTTAATCTCCTAATACAGTCCCATTCTGAAGTACTAGGGGTTGAGGTTTCAACACATGAATAGGCTCGGGAGACAAAATTCAGTGCATAAAAAACATGAATGAGGCAATGTGTTAACTGCGTTAACAGGATCCAATTTAAATCTTACTCAAGTATATAAAGGACAACTAAGGACCCCAGGGTTTGTAATCCTCTTTCCCAGTGTCACAGCTTTCCAGGAGCCAGAAAAGGTCAACACTGCCCAGAGCCACCAGCAAGAAGAGGTTCAAAGAGGATCCCTGCCCTGAGCAGAGTGTCGTTCACTCAAAGCTGAAGGGGTAGCAGTCAAGGACACCTAGGGTGTCACTTACTGTAACTATTTAGATGGGAAGAGTGTGGTCATTTAATCCCTGTCAGCTTTTTTCCTTTGAAAAATACCTTTTCCCCACCAGGCCTGGTGGTGCACACGTAATCCCACACTCAGGGGACTGAGACAGGAAGAATGTAACTTGACAGCCAGCCTAAGGTACACAGGCGAGTCTATCTCTAAATACAAGCTAAAAGACAGGGTCTGACAAGGCACGGAGAGACAGCTGTGCACCTGAAAGTCCACGACGGAAGCGCTGAACTCCATGACACTCTGCCTGTAAGTGGAAAAAAGAGCCCCGAGCACCAAGAGCAGTGGGCCCTGCGGAGAGGGAACCTGGGAGAAGGATCTACTGTCTGCCCTGCTTGCAGTTTACCAACAGAGACACATCTACAATCAGCTCCATGATTTATTACTAAGTAACAGTAATGAGTTACTTTCAATGAGTAATGGTTTCTCTGATGGACAGGTAAATTTAAAATCAGATCACAAAGTTCTTGAGAGAAGCCACAGGGCCAAAGATACTCAGTGTCATTTGCAGTATGTTTCTGTAAAATGAAAACATATACTGCTAACACACATTTTGGGGTGCTCAAAATCTAAAAAATGTAAATATAGTCTTAGCTAATTCCTGAAGCATATATGCCAAGCTCATTTTTAAACATCAAAGAAATAACCAATGACACATGAATCTTAAAACAACGTCCGTATTTATTTACATCATTACAGCAACGCGCTCTGGTACAAAGCCATGAAAACAGAGATCTTAAATGCAAATGTAGTAAATCCATGCGATCAGTTCTATAGATCTAAGTCCAAGAGGCAAAACTGATTAGTGAAAACCTAAGAGAATGGCACCTACAGAAATCTGTGCAGTTTGGGCCCATTGGCGGGGTGTGTGTGTGTGTGTGTTCTTTTTTGCCCTCAGGACTTCAAACAACAGTATTGACTAACCTCAATCCTTTCTCACACACTATGGGAGGAACAGGAAACAGGAGCCCTCTAGCCCTCAACTGGTCCTTCAAAGAAGGTAGGAAGAACGTCAACTGTCCACAAAGCAGCATGAGTTAGCCAAGCTGTAAATGAGCCCAAGAAAATCCCTCTGGTCACCAGACAACCCAGTTTTCTAATTGTCAAAGAGGCACTGGTTCTCAACGGTGGCTGAGAATTTCACTTAAATCAGGGCAAATTTTTAAATTCTCAATATTTAGCCTCCAAAGAAAACCATTAAAAGGGGCGAACGTGGGTAGATTTAAAGCACCAGCAGGCAATTCTAACAGCAGCCGGGGGTTAAAAACCACCAAAGCAAAAAAGTAACATTTGAATAGAGTACAAGGACACATTCCCCAGCCCAGCCTTCCCTGGGACATTTCTCTCCTCCTGCAGCTTTGGGTTCTAGAGGGCGCGAGACCAAAACATCACTGCCTTGCTGCAAAAACAAAGGAGTTCGCATCCTGAGGTTAAAATAACTGTAGGACCATCTAACTGACTGTGACCTAAAAACAGGAAAACTGGAACCCAGACACCTAGACACCTTAGCAAACACAACTCTGATCGTGGCTTTTGCTGTATGTGACCTCTGTAAATGTGACAATCACACCAAGCACTTGCTGTCTTTCCACCAGGAGAGACTAACACAAACTCAGAAATCCTGGCACCTTTTTTTCCTTCAAATGTTTTTTCACTAGGCAACGCAAGCCTCCTCTTGTCATCCTTCCAGGGAAAACTTCCTTTCTGAAATGCCAGCATGCTTGGTGTCTGAGTCATTCTTCAGTAAGAAGGCCCCAGAGATATCAGGCCTCTGAACAGGGTGCTTGGTGCCCGAGGGACAGAGGCTTCTACAAGCAATCAGGGAAAGGGCTGTGAGCTCAAAACGGTGCCTTCTAAGGCAGGTTTTAGCCACATGACCCTTACATACACTGTACTAAGTATTTTTACCGAACTGCCAATCAGTTATGGCATCAAAGACGTACAAAAATACTGGAAATGGGCAAACTTTGCAAGCAATTTCCTGATACATAAAAGATGGTAGAATTTCCCTGTCATGATAAGGGGCCCGCATTCAGAGCAGGGTGGGCAACACTAGATGTGGTCGCTCTGAGACTGACCCAGGGTAACCCCACCCAGAGTTCAATCAACAATGCCTGAGGTCAAGATCAGTAAGGACAGTTTCATCTACTCAGATCACACAGGCTTCTTCTGGAATCTTGAAAAAACAGGGTGGGCCATGAGGAGAATGAGCAAGCGTCCCGCAGAGGGCAGAGCTACCGAGAGGAAGGCAGACAGCAGCCCAGCGCGTGGCTGCTGGCCACACATCATCTGCTTCCAAGGTCAGCATGATCGCCAGCTTTGTAAGTGAAGACGTACAAGAGACGGGGCCATCTGTTTAGCAGAAAAGTGGGGTCAGATCTCCAATAATGACACTTGGTACTCGCCAATGGGATGTTCATTAGTATTTAGTTCATGGTTGTTGAGTACAAAAAAAAAAACCATCTCAAACACTTCCTTAAATACAGAACCCAGTGCAGGCCTGGTGCTGCACGCCTCTAACTCCAGGACTCACTCAGGAAGCTGAGGCCAGAGGGTGGCTGTGAGTTCAAGGCCAGCCTTGGCTACATGAGTGAATTCAAGTACAGCCTAAAATACACAGTGAGACCCTGCTTGAAAACAAAACAACGACAACAAAACAGAACAAAAACTGAAAGCAGAGAAGAGAAAAGTTTGAGGTAGATGCCTCACATAAGCCTTCCTTGGGTTCATCTCCTCATTAAGGGAATGAGCTGGTTACAGTGGCCCAAAAGTCTCCTAATAGTTTGAAATGATAGTCTAAAAGCATGTGTATATCCTCTTCCTGTAGCTGTTTTCTGTAAACCTCTTCCTGTAGGTTTCTCCTGGACAAACCAGATCAGGACAAAACCTAAGCCAAATGACAACAACATGGCAAAAGATTAAAAATTTAATTACCCACTTAGGAGGCTATATCCTCAAAGAACCAAAAACAGCACAGAGAAGAAGTATCTGCGCACTCATTCACAGCAACGTTACCCGCAATAACCACGACGTGAAATGAAGCCAAAGGCCGCCCAAGCTGAAGGCATGCGGGCAGTGAGGGACACCACTCAACCACTCAAGGACCGGCTGCACACGGAAACAAACACGGCCCTGCCACAGCACGCTTGACCTTGATGACGTTACGCTCAGTGTAAGAAGCTGGTAACACAAGGACAAACCATGTCTGCCTTCACCTGTGTGAGGTGGTGGTGTTCCGTCACGGGAAGGAAACAGAGTGGTGGCTTCCAGGGCCTCCTGGCGGGGAGATGGAGACCCAGAGCTCCAGGCTGGGCAAGATGAGGAGCACTTTATGGGTGTATGAGGAGACAGCAGCAGGAGGTGTGAAAGCAGCAATGCAAGTGACCTGTGCACTCAGCGAGGTTAAAATACTGGAAATGTATGTCATGAACGCATCACCCTTTGTACAGGCACTGGCAACCTTTGTACAAAGGCTGGCACTCTCAGCGAGCTGTTCAGAAGCTAAAAACCCAATCAATTCCTGGTGCGTCTCATGTCATCTAACAACTTCCAAACCAGGCCACCCGCTAAGCAGCTCAACAGCAAACACATCCAAGGAGAGCTGCTATAAATTTAGAGAGCATTCAGAAAATAAATACCTACACCAAAAGGAAGTACCTAAGAATTGATAGTCAACACAGAGACCAGTCAACTCTGAAAGATCTATAAAAATAAACTGGAAAAGACATAATATAACATAAGTGAACAAATACTGGAAAATGAAGAAAATAATCTCCTTGATGTAAACACTCAAAGTGACAGCATTTGAAATCTACTAAAACTAATACATATTTATAACTACATAAACACCCAGCCAAAACTCAAACCTAGTGCAAATGCCAACTTGCTAAAGTGCCTTTAGCAAAAAAATGTTTACTCCTCCCCTTGACAACTAAGGTCACCAACCTACAAAGCCTTTCTTCCTTTACACACACACAGAAGGCCCACGCCTTCGATTCTGAGACCACTATCATGACTCACTTCAATCATGTCTTCCTTAGCAGCTGTAACAATTTATAACATGCCATTTGAGAAGGTATCTACCCAACCTGTCTTACCCCACATACTTGCTAATTTCCAGTGCATCAGAGGGGAGATCCCCCCTTGAAATATGCTGTATGATTTTAATTTTACCAGAAAAACCCAAAATTTCATCATCAAATAATACGAAAAAACAAAAAATATAATGTACACCATTAACTTCACAGTAGTTACTCAAAGTACAAAACATAAACAAAAAAGATTCTTACAAAAACAGAAATAGAAAATAACACAAATCTTTCTTTCCAAACATTCAAATAACAGGCAACAAAATTGAAACAGTAGTTAAAAAAAAATTTAAGAAAAGCCCAGGATGGATTCACAGCCAAATTCTGTAAAAACTTCAGGGAAAGTCTAATAGTCCCCAAACTTTTTAAGGAGACAGCGGGAGGGAGTGCTTCCAAAATCATTCTCAGAAGCTAACATTATCCTGATCCCAAAATCAGATAAGGACACAACCAAAAAACAGAATTATGGACCAATTTCCCTAATGAACATAGATGTAAAAATCCTTAACAAGACTGGCAAACAGAATGAGATAAATAATCAAAAAGAGTATATACATCATGACCAACTAGGCTTTATCCCAGGGATACGAGCATAACTCATCATATAACAAAAGGTCAAAAATCACATGATCATCTCAATAGATGCAGAAAAAGCCTTTGACAAAATCCAACATCCATGCATGATAAAATCCTAAAGAAATATGTATAGGATTTATTTCAAAATAGTAAAAGCCACTGATAACTAACCTACTGCCAACATTCTACTACATGGGGGAAAGCTGAGAACCTTCCATCTAAAGCCAGGAAAAACACAACAATCTTCATTATCACCAATCCTGTGCACAGTCCTCAAAACATTAGCCAGAGAATCAGGCAAGAGGAAGAAATGACAGATCAAAATAAGAAAGGACAAAGTGAAAACAGCGTTAATTTCAGATGACATGATCCTTTACTTACAAGACTCAAAAGCCCCACCTAAAGACTCCTAGAACTGGTAATTAAATTAAGCAAAGCAGGATACAAAATAAACACACCCTGTGTGATTGGTCATTGCCTGGTCTTTCCAGGAGGCCTCTGAGGTCTAAGATGGCAGGCACAAACCAATGCAGATATTTACAAAGTCACTGGTATCTCACTAACCGTATTGCAAAGGTGCCCAGCAGCACTGCTAGTCGGCATGAATCCAAAACATGTCCCTCAGCACAGTACATTCCGTTCACCAGTGCAAATTCCATGAGGACAGGCACCTTCCATGTGGCAGTCTAGCAATTCCCACAGGCCTTTGGGATAAATGAGTACGGCCGATGTCTTACATGGAGACAACCGAACAAAACCAGTTTACAGGCCAGCAGCATGTTTATGCAGGGCATGCTGTACATGGGGCACGCACATGGAGAGAGTGCACAGGAGTCCTAAGACAAGCAGTCTAAGACAAGCAGAGTAAGAAGCTAAATTTCCTCCGAAATTTGCAAAAAGTAAAATTAAGTGCAGTCTTTCCTCCCCAGGTGAGGTCTGTGGGAAAAAAACGTGCTCCCTGTCAGCCAGGAACTTGTTGGAAATGCTGTTCGATAACCTCACCACCTCTTTTTTAATAGGCAATTCTAATGCACATTAATGTATGAAAAGCAGCAAACTAGGTCTCTATCCTACTAGATTATAAACTACAGCTGCATGTAAATCTATAATAGTCTCCAAATTTCCAATGAAGAAAAGGAGTGCTAGGGCTCCGGCACAGCGGTACAGTGCTTGACCAGCGTGCTCCAGGCCCTGAGGTCCAGCCCCAGCACTCATGCCCTAAAAGAAAAAGGAAGTGTGTAGACAAGTTTCAATCTCAGGACACCTTCCTGACCCATCTTTGTAATACAAAAAAATACTAAACACACCTAATATCCATGGTTTCACAAATATAATACACACATCACTATGAAAAGTGACACTTGGCCAGGGATTTAGCTCAGCAGCGTAAGCACCTGCCTGGCAAATGTGAGGTTGTGAATTCAATCTCTGGTTCCAAAAAAAAATAAATAAATAAAAGTGACACTTAACAGATACAGGGAACCCCAAGAGTGCATCTGAATAATACATTTAAGCAATAGGATTAAGTGATACACCGCTATGGTACACAATGTGAGCACAAGAAAAATTCTATCCAATGAATCTGAGAAACAAAATCATTTTCAGTATAAGCTGGGGTTCGCTTTTTTCAGAAGTGTGTCTCAACACTTCTCATTGTGCTGTTTTTATTTTCTTTCGCAGTGCTGGGGATGGAACCCAGGGCCTCTCATATACTCTATCTCTAAGCTACATCACCAGCCCATTAATTTTTTTTAAAGCAAACTACAACTCTTCAAAAACAAAATAAATAACCAGTCTAATAACTGTACTACTGTCAATGTCTTTTACCTACAAAATTTGTTATTTCTGATGCAGTTCCTGGTTGGGAAAATTTTTACCCCCTTTAGGCCATAGTTACAAATGTAGGTTTGATTAAAAGTTTAAAAGGTGCTTAGGATTATGCATTATTATTATGTTTCTGTTTATCTGCTTAAATTTCTACTACAACGTTAGATATAGGACCATCATAAAAATTGTTACAAAAAATTGTTTTGTTTAAAAAATAGTGGAGTAATTGAGAAAAGTCCTGAAAACAGTATTTTTTCAATTAACTTTGTCCTTTTTTAGCTACATCTGAAGAGGTTAAAACTACAATGGTAAAAGACAAAAAATACAATTTTAATGGGAAAAGCCCTAATTCTGAACATAAAGTAAGCAAAAAGAATGATTCTCCCAGCGGCTTTACTCACCTGCACTGCAGGGAACATTCCAATCCCACAGGCGTCCATTCAATGGGCTGTACCCATAGCCTCTCAGCACAGCTGCTTCCCCCAAGTTCACAGTCTTCAGCCACTTTGAGAACAGGATTTTAGTGCCATCGGATCTCATCTGATCTTCGAAGCTAAGCAGGGTCAGGCCTGGTGAGTACTTGGCTGGGAGAACTGGATTTCGCAGATACCCCAGAATGGCAGATACTCCTCTGCTGAGCCCAACTTAGTCACATCCTGTTCTAGCCTCTGCCCTGAAGTGTGGCCAGAATATATAATTGGCTTTAAGTCAAAGCTGTCATTCTCACAGTGACTTCTGTGATACACAACTCCAGATTAGCAGATTTTTCTCTCTGGGGCAAGAGATTATCCTGCCCCTTTCACCAGGCTGTCACGCTGCCAAAGGCTCTATAAGAGATTCACAAGGCAAGAAACTCTGGGAGGCAGCCAGCTGAGAGTGGTGACCAGAGAACAGGGACCTACGGTGGCCCAACAGCAAGGAAGTAAATCCAGCCAACAAGCATGTATCCCTGGAGGAGACTGCCAAGCCCCAGGAAAGAACACAACTCTGCTTGGCTGCAGGTGACTGCAGGTCTGTGACACCCAGAGAGAAGCCTCAGCTAAGTCATGCCCACATTCCCGGCCCACAGAAATGTGAAATAATCCACGTATGCTCTTTTAAGCTACTGCATCTGTGGTCATTTGTTACTCAAAAAAGGAGAACATGGGTATCGGTGACCGACAGACACTTACCTAAGAACTGACCATTCAGATGAGTGCTCGCTGGAATCATCCTATTATTTCCTTCCAATATGGAAATACATTTTCAAATAACAATGCATGCTCCATGGAGCCATTCATATTTTGGACTGTAGAATCTCAGTAAATTTTCCAATATGGATTTCCAGATTTTGTGCCACATCCTTCTCACCATGCTTCTCTCCCTCAACTCCATCTTCTACCCTTTGAAAGTAGGTGCTCACAGAATTCCTCTTGTAACAAGCCTCCACAAAGCCAAACTACTACTACTGCTTGAAATCCAACAACTTGAGGAAAAGCAGTACACTAAGCAGAGGTATTTTCTAAGCTCAAACTAAGTATGGTTAAAAAAAGTAAAAGAAAGAAAAGAGAGCTTCTCACTCTGTCTTTCTACCAGCCCTCTCCAAGTGCATTAACATGAACCAGTGCTGAGGCGGGCATATAAGCTGAATGAGAACATGTCAGACAAACCCAATAAGTTTTTGAGAGTGAATTAATGGAAATTAGTTAAAAGAAAGCAAGAAAAAAAGTCAAGCGAAGATGCAGCAATCAGAGAATTTGATTATCATTCAGCATAAAACATGGGAAAAAGTAAACAAAACCTGTCATCGATTCCAGTGACTGATCAAAGGACAGCCACACTAGTTTTGCATACCTGCATGAAGTACCCACTTTCCCATCCCTGACACACAGGCCACCAAAGCACTTTCTTATCTTTAGTTTGGCCTCCTAGATATTTCAAACTCAGGAAGAAGTTTGAAGGGTGACAAACAAAGCCAATCCTTGAAGACGACAATGACTCACTACAAATTTGCACCTGTTTTGCAGTAGTGATTCTGTGATTTAACACTCAAAACACGCCGAGGACTGAGTCCTGAAATAGCAAGGGCCGGTCAGACCTGCAGAGGCTCCTGAGGTAAGGCACAGGCCTCAAAGGATCCATGCAAGCCCCACTGCTAATTCAGTAACTCTGAAGCAGCTCCCGACATCAAAACAGTGTTCTCCAAAGCCCCACTAAATGTAACTAGAGAAAACTATAAAAATAATTTTATTTTTACAAATGTCTGCAAAAATAGTATAATCTCCATAAATGAATGAATTACTGCATTTTACTGAAAATAAAACACTCATTGTAAAACACAACCTTTCATATAAATGGAAAGACCTATCACTTAGAATTGATATATGTTAGAAGGTAACTGATTCCTAAACATATCCCATTTCAGACAAATTTAAAAAAAGTAGGGGAAAAAGGTGTCTCAGGAGCAATAAAATGCAGCACTTACAGCAGCCTTCTTTAAATACGTATTCAAAGAAAACACTAAATATAAATGTAAATATTAAACTGTCATGAATTCATAATCAATAGCACAGTAATGGAGCTATTTACCATTCTTGTTACACACATCATTTAAAATGAAGGATGGGCTGTTCTAGAAAACATCTTGTAAACTTAAAACCCACTAAGTTTCTCAATTTGGAACTCATCTCATTTTTACTTCCAGAATCAAAGATCACAAGTTGAGAAAAATGAGATGTACGTTAGTGATGCAATACAGACCCAAAGGTGGTCATCTGTTGCAGCCAGATCCCATGGGCCCTGCTTTATGTTCTCTTCATAGAAATATAAGCTGAAATGAGTCATTAGCATTCTTTGGTCAGCTATGCAGAAAAGATAAAGCCATTGATAAAAACATCTAATTTCAAGGATGCTCTGTCATGAAACGACTCACCCCAACTTCCCAGTAGAGTACAGGTGCCCATCATTCCCTTGGCAAATCATTTCTGCATAGTTTTGCTCAAATAAAACTACACTAAACTACTCAAAAAAAAAGGTTTCTTTGTATGCTCTAATAGGTGGAATCCGTAAACTATTACCTAACCAACCTGATGTCCAACAACAGTCTCATAACAAATTCTACCTTATAACACCAACTGGTATTCAAAACTTTTAGCATTTGTTAGATAGGCATGCAGAAAATCTTTTAAGGCTCTGTTCCAAATGAACTCATTAGAAATTGCAATTACTCAAAAAGGTTAAAGTAATCCACCTCCTCCAATGCTAGTCCACTTTCTCCTGTTCCACAAGTGTTCCACAAGGGAATCACCAAATAGCTAAACGGTGGAGAACACTCAAACATCATTGCAGTTAAGTGTAACTGTCAGATTCATCAGATCTGGGCTTCATCAAAGTATTTCTAGATGTCTGTATGACAGAAGGCCTCGCTGTAACATTCATATCAACAACTTCAAAATCCATCTCATTCCATTTTTCTGCATCACCTCCTTCATTATCATCTTCAAAGTCCTTCAGCAAAGCTTTCTGGTCCTCACTCCTTCTGTGTGCTCTCTGCTGGCGATCCAGAGGCAAGGTGGCTAACTTATACATCACAGGGAATAATGCAGCAGTGAACACTGCTGACCCCAAACACGTGTACAGAACTACCGGCAAACCTGGGAATTCTCCTTGAAGAATTCCAATTACTGCAGGAATAGCCATTTCTCCAAGGGCAGCACCAATTACAAACAATGCCGCAGACTTCCCGCTTATGCTCGTGTACTGCTCAATCCAAGAAATACCGCTGGGAAAGGTGGCGGCCATCGAGGCCCCATACACTGAGCTCGCTATCCACAGACAGAGTGGGTTCTTGTCAAAAAGCACCAGGAATAAAGATGACACCAGGCTGCCAGTGTTGCTCACCACAATCATGGTTCCAGGCTGTAAACATGTGGCAAACAAGATTGCCAGACCCCTGCAGGCTGCAAAGGCCCCCCAGAAGGCGGAGTTCAAGCCAGCCGCCTTGCTCTCCTCCATGCCAACGTGGGTGGTTGCAAATGAGAAAACATAAGAGCCATAGGTTACCTCAGCTCCAACGTAAAAAAAGAAGAAGAGGAAAAGGAGGCAGAGCAGGGCTCTGTGATATTTAGCTCTTCGAGATTCCTGAGCAGACGCTGTTGATTTTTCATGCTTCCAGCTTTTCATGAAAAACAGAGCAAACAGGAAGACAGAAACTACAAAGGTGTAAGTGCCGATAGCAGCATAAGCCCACAGTAAGTTCAAGTCATCAGGCGCTGCAAACAGAAGGCCTGGGTCGGCTTCAGGAGATCGGTTGAGGGCTGGAGGGTGAGGGTCAGGCTCTGTGTGGTTTTCAGGTGACGCTGTTGTCCCCAAGGCCAGTTTTGCCAGAATAGGAGTCAAAAAGGCACCCAAGGCAAAACTGAAGTGTAAGGCCTGCATATGTGGGGCTCCTTTGTCCCCCCATACAGTCAAGATAAGGATGTTCCCACCTACCAAGGAAAGATGGGGAAACTAAATTAAACAGTAACTTAGTTTAAAAAACAAACTTTTTTAATATCAGAGAGAGGCAGTAGCTTCATAATATTCTCAGTCACCAACCATTGCATGAGTTAATTCTGTATTTAAGAAAATTAAATCCTATGTCAGCACAAAACTATGCTTTATAACACCTCATACACATAAACAGAATGCTATAAGCTGGCAAACGACACTCCTGGAAGCAAGCATATTAGCAAAGGCTTTTGATAAATCAGTGCTAACACAGGACTGGGAAACAATACTTGTAGACCTATTTATTTATAAATATTTTATGTTATTTAGGTAAATATATATGTATATATTTACTAGGTACAATCTTACTAGTTTCTAAAGCTATGTGTTCTTGTGGAAACTTGAATATTATTTTACGCATGTGTAAAGCAGAAGCAAATATACAATCAGAAATGTGACTACTCCAGGATTATGCTGTGCCTGTTACAGAACACAAGAACACCGTGCAGGAATTGTATTTACACTGTCTCAAGAACAAGGTCAAAGGCCAGAGCGTCTAGTCACTGGTTTTTTGGTAATCAGATTATTTTCTGATAAATACATATTTTTACTCTGTAAATTCACCATCAAAGGAAAACTCAATACAAAATATTTTCATAACCTATCAAATAACAATAGAGCAGGGAAGGGAGGCCTAGGAAGCTAGATTTGTCAACATTATTTTAGCAGGTTTTCTAAGTCATGATGACACAGAAGCTCTACTAGAGTAGGGCAGAAATGTTTGAGTGAGAAAACAACAGAAAAGAGACACGAGGATAGAGACATGCCATAGGTTTCTTACCTCAAAATCCAGAGTGTATTTGTATAATTAATATATGTGAACATAATTTTAAAAATCTGGAATACATTAAATTGGATGGTAGCATCTGTGTTTCCACAGCAAAATACTGGTTTTAAAATGTGCTTTATACCCTTAAATCATCATTTCTTAAAAGGATAAAAATGTATTCCAAAATGAAAGGCTGTCCACTGTCAATTCTATAAGTCATTACTCTCCCATGCAATAAAATTCTTTAAATTCACTTCATAGTTGGTGACTCAAAATTCTGTTCGTTACTTAAGAGCAGTAGCTATTAGAAGGGTGGTTCTGACCAATTCAGTAAGTCTGTATCTTTCTAAGAGCAAGTGACTTTACTTTTCTTGAGCAAAGATGCACTCCTAGAGGTAACACTGAAGATTCACTGACCTGTGTCCAGTAGGCCCATTGCAGTGCCGAAGCCAGACATCATGACAATCAGTAACACTGCTTTTTTGCAAAAAGGAGTGAGATAAAGACCAACTGTTGTACCCAACAGTGACACCCCTGAGAAGAAAAGGTGAAATACTTGCTATGAAAACTATATTAAGCAGGGTCATGTGTCAAAAATCAACATCATAAAAATGTTTCAAAACGCAAAATAAATTGCAATTGCTAAAGTGGTTATTTCATCAAAATCTAGTAAAAGCATTATAGAATATAAAATATACATTACTAAGATATTCATAATTCTACTACTGCTAGTAATATATAAAATATACAAGGAAAAGTTTTATAGCAATAAAAAGCCCAAATGTATTTACATAGAATTTTCTCATTTAAAAATACAAAGAAATTTTTAGATATAATGCAAAAAGGCAAACAGAAATGTAATCAGCATAGTAGTTTGTAATAAAACTAAATAAATTAGTTTGGGCAACAGGGAGAGAACCCCAAGAAATGTATTCTTTCAATCTATTTTGGAAGAGAAACTTTTTACGCACTAGCAGTAAATTATTCCCCTTACTTGCAAAGGAGGTTTCTTTGAACACTAAAACTCACTCAAAACAGAATGTGTTTAAATCTTTGCCATGTTCCCAGAGTAAGGTAATCAGGGGTCACCATTACCTGAGGCAATGGGGGGAAAAGCTGACTCACATTCCCTGTCCCTTAATTTTCAATCCAGAGGCCACAGATTCTAGAAAGGTTCCTATCAGGAGCTTATGATGAACTCCATGGCCCAAGATCTGTCCTAGACCCTGAGAAGCAGCAATTTACAGGCCTCCCATCTGTGGGCCTGAAGTGGTGCCTGAACACAGGAAGGCTTGGAAGCAAAGGACTGCTAAGGCACCCTTGTCAAAGTCACAGCCTGGAAACCCAGCTTCCATGGAGAGCACAGAACACTGTCCACTTCAGCTGCCAACCAGTCTGCAGGCTTCTGTTTTTCATATCCAAAGCCAATGTTGAAAGAAACACACACCAACAGTCACAAACAAGCAGAAATCAGTGTTTCCTTACCCAAAACTATAAAATAATTCATACAGTCAAAAAGAACACCACCAATCATAGAGCCACACAAATATCCAGACGCCCGGCCCACAAAAATTAGAGAAAGACTGCTGACATTTCGGTTTACGTTCGTTGCCAAATCTTGAAACGTGGGTCCCAGTATAGCAATACTCATTCCCTAAAAATTAAAAAGACAAAACCTTTTTTACTCACAACTATTAAAATGATGTCGAAGTGCTAACTTGGTTCTGCTATTTAAAAAAAATGATTGGGATGGACTTCAATATAATGCATGGGCTTTAAGTCCAATTGAGAAAGATGTAGACTACTACTAACACCACATTACAGCTACTTTTCAGTGTTTTTCTTTAGCATCAATTCTCAAGTTATTTTTTAAAAAAAACTAACTTTTCTGGCTTTTGTTATAATTCTGTTTAGTTTTGGAACAATAGTTTAAAAGACTATTCTACATTAATAGTTGATAGGAGGTAACAAAACTACTTGCACAGTGTTTGGCTCTATTTTGAAATATACTACGTGCACGAATAAGAGGAGTTTAGATGTTAAATTTTCTTTTTTTTTTTTATCGGTACCCGATAAAATTTCTTTTTTTTTTATCATGACCACGTGCTTAGATGTTAAATTTTAAATTATTAAAATTTCCGCCACTGCATGCTGAAACAGCAGTATTTCTAGTGCACATGAGGTCCTTCCTCCCAGTTATAAACAGCCAGTGTTCAGAAGTTATCTGAATCTTTTTTCAAAGAAAAACGTCAGCAAAACTAGTCTTCAAAGCCTCCTCAAAAAAATATTCCATGCCCATGCATAGAAATGTTAGTAAAATTTACCTAAAATGATGTCTTAGGTAGTTCGATCATTTTCAGACATTCTTAGAACTTTTTAAAATCTTAATTCATTTATATTTCAACAAAAACTGACTGACTGCACTGTTCCGTTCCAAATGTATCCTTGGTCCAAGCAGGAGCAGCTAGACTAAGAACCCACAGAAACCCACAAAAAAGGTTCAGGTCCAAAGGAAAAAGCCTGCCTACTGGCTCTAAAATTATTCACGCCAAGCCGCCGCAATGATATCTTTCTCATCCTTTCCATCAAAAGTCTAAGAAACAACTGTGGCTTGGATCTGAACGCTCAAAGAACAGAATGATTTCCCCCAACGGACTGACTCTCCCAACTCTGCAGAAGCGAAAATCACCAAGTTTAACAAAAGGCGTTTGGGTAAAGGCGCTAGTAGCCTTAAACTTTGCTGAAAGCACTTAAGGTTCTGGAGCCTGGATTTATTTTTAAATAGAACTATGCAGAGTAAGAGATGTTCCAATTTAACCAACTGTGTGAGCTGGAAAAGTGAACGTCCTCTCTAGGCCTATTTCTCTATTTGTAAACTAGGCAAATGGTTAAATTTGGTGAGCCGGCCAAGAAGAAATCCCCAACAGCAGTTTTCAGTGCAGCAGTCCGGCGCTTGAATTCGTGGGTGCAGAGGGAACCGTGCAAGTCCTGGGCAATCCCTCTCGTGCTTCCCTCCCAGCGCACCCGGGAGACAGACAGGTTTGCTGCCTTTGGAAGACGCTAAAATTAGGGAAATCAGCTTCACACGTGATGATCATCCTCCACGGTACAAGTGTGCCCGGCTTCCAGAAATGAAACAGATCCAGACGGATTAATGAAACCCGCAGGTCGCTCAACGTGCAGGGGAAGGAGCGACCCCCCGGAGGGTCACGTCCCCCGCCGGCGCCGCCCGCCGCTTACCAGCCCCAGGAAGGCGGCGCACAGCACCGCGGTGGTGAACCAGCGCAGCGCGCTCTCGGCCCGGGCGCTCCGCCGGGGGCCGGACGCCGCCTGCGGCTGGGTCTCCGCCGGAGCCGCGTCCAGGAGGAGCCGCTGCCCAGCAGCCGGGGCCCCGGCCTCACGGAACTCCAGTTCCAGCTCCAGCTTGGCGGCTCCAAAACGCTCTCGCAGCCGTACTTTTTATAAGCGAGGCAGGTATTCGGAGCCTGACTGTCCCCAAAGGCGCCACCGCCTTAGAAACAGCCTCAGGTGGCGGCCAGTTCCGCTAAGCCTTGCTGGCACCCGACACGCGAACTAGCCGTCATGCGGCGCCTGCGCTTTTCACGTGGCGGAAGTGAGGCTCCCGGCCAACTAGGCGGGGTCTCAAAACCGGAAGTTAGCCAGTTGCTAGGAGACCAGCGTCCTGGCAGGCTTCGCGTCACACTTCGGCAAGCGGATTGTGGTCAGTGGACCAACGCTAGTAGACAAGGGAGCCCGAGCTTGAGCCTCGGAGCAGAGGAGTTGAAGAATCCGATATTGCTAGTCCTGTATGCAGAAATGCTGGCTAAGAATTGCAGGTTGGAACCTCGCAGCCCGGCAAGCAGGGGAGCCGGAAGTTGTTATGCTTAGAAACGTCCCAATTCTGTGTCCTTACTACTATGATATCTGATGTTTCTCGAGCTGTCTTCATCTTTCACGCCACAAATATTTGTTCACCACAAGGGTAAGATGTGATGTGTTACATCTCAATTGATAAAGCCACACCTAAATTCCACCTTTGTCCGGTTTACAGATAGGAAGATTGAAACCTTGCGAATGAAAAGCAACTTGCCCGAATGGTCAGCCCATTGGTGCACTGACGTGGACAGTGTAATAGGAGCTCAAGAAACAAATCTGAGTGTTGTGCTGCACTGTGAACCACACGTGGCCCTTAATTCTGCAGATAATTTCAATATTGTAAGGAAGTTAAGCAAGGTATCCAACTGTGTGAGTGCTGAATAGAGCTTGTGCTGCCAGCGGAGAAGCCTACGCCTTTTATCTGACATCAACTTTGTTTGATTTGCCCTTTCACCAAGCTGAGCACAGACAAAATGTGACATCAGTTGTTTTCTTTACCTTCTGAAATGTTCTTTTTCCCCTTCTCTTCCACCTCTTCCCACTTAAACTCCCAGACTAAGATCTTTACAGTCACCATTCCTTGCAACCTTGTACTTCATCCATTTGGTTATTAACTCTCCAGTTTATCTGAGAACTATCTCATCAGTCTGCTTCCAGCTCTCCATTCTTATTACCTTCCCTCTTGTCCTTCTCATTCCTGGCTTAGACTGTCACAAAAGTTTTCTACTTCATTTCCATACTCTGGCACTTGAACATTTCAGTGGAGCCTGGTGATGCTACATAACAAGTCCTGAACAATTAGCGATAAGGCATTCAGGAGAGATGTTGTACTTTGAGAATTTTTCATGTTAGTTGAAACTACTAAATAGGTAAATTGATTTTTTTTTTGGTAAGGCAGAGGATCAAACCTCAGTCTCACCTGTTCTAGGCAACCACTATATGTAAACTGATTATCAACTGGGCTGGGGATTTAGCTCAGCAGCATAAGTGCCTGTCTTGCAAGCAGGCAGTCGTGAGTTCGATCCCTGGTACCAATAATAAAAAAAAAAAACTGATTAGCAACTATAGGATTTGTACTGAGGGGGAGGTGAAAATGATATAAAGAAAAGAGAAAGGAAACATGTGCAAGGGAAGAATTCTACCTGTAAGAGTCACAGAATGTTACACAGAGATTTTTCATCTGATCTTTGATGAATTAAGTGGAATTTGCATATGGAAAGTGGCATTTTATCTGAGATGTGGACAAGATCCCAATCTCCCAAATGAGTATAAAGTGAAGGCTTAAAATAAATGAAATGTTGTACTTTGAGAATTTTAGGGCTCCAGGAGGATCACAACCCTCTGCAGAGTTTGAGACTCTTGGGGCTAAGACAAGGAATGTTTCTGGGTAGCCCGAATTTATTTAGTTTTCAAACAATAGAGGGATTAAAGTGTAAAATGTAGGAAGCTGAACAGACCTTGGGATTTTTCCATGTAACAGATTTTGTTTACAAGAACTATTTTATGTTAATTTAGGAGAAGTATTTTAGGAGAAGATCTCCATGTTGCATTTAACTGAAATGCCTACAGCTATAGTCTTTAGTTAATCCTTAGTGGTCCATTGGCCCAGGAGAATGGGACAATAAACTGAGTTCCATAAGGATAGACTTGAGAACTGGCTGGGTCCCTCTGCCAACCCCCTGTGGAAAGGACAGCAGTTTAAGGAATGGTGTTTTTGTGGCTGCAAATCCCATATTTTCAAAAGATTCAAACTTTTATTTGAATGTAATTCTTCAGGTATCTTCCCTAATTCCCTCTCTAATCAAGTTTGATTCCCTAATTCCCTCTCTAATCAAGAATCCTACTTACATATCTAGTTCTAGCCATCACTGGGCCCTGAATTCAGGAACTGTTTAGTTTGGGATAGGAGGACAGTCCATAGAAATAAATGTGAAGCAGACCAATTACCTTATAATAGTGTTATAACATAGTGTTATGACCTCATGTTATAATTTTCCAGCAAATAGTGCTGATAGGATCCAGGATCTTTCTCTACCTCCTTGAATCTTGGAGCAGCTCATGAGACAAGTGATAAAATGTCATTTTTATATAGGAACATAAAGGTTTAGATGCTTTTTGTCACAGTTTTGCTATATTTCCTTCAAGTATTGTTTTCCTTTGGCAAAAACAAGCTTTCTCTTTATGTCCTTGTACGTAAACAAAAATTTTCTGTCTCTGAGTCATTGTTCAATAAAATGGTGTTAGGATTCACAAGAGGGTGCTCTCCTTTTAGAAGCAGAATTTTTTGCAAGTTATCAGGCAAAGGTTGAGAACAGATGAACCTGCTCAGTTACCCTTTTGGGAGCTGTAATCCAAGATCAAGCTCAACTGTAAATGTATCCTTTTGGCTGTCCTGAGGAAATCCAAACCTTGCTGTGAGTCCATATTACTGAAACCTTGCGGGTTGGTTTTATTTTTTAATTTTTTACTTTTAAAGAGAATAAAAGAAAATAGAACCAAGCAGATCAGAACAAGACAGTGCAAGTGACACAGGATTTCAAAACAAAACAACAGGAAATCAACAGTGGCTACCAAAATCACTGTTTTCGTCAAGACAGTTGTCCATATCTTCACACACAATGAATTCAAACGACAAAATAGTATACAACTAATCAGAACAAACGAATGAAAGCATTACAGTCTTCAAAACCATACAACAGGAAAATCAATAATGGCTACAACAATGTCTCTTGTTCTCTTCAAAATAGCTATCCCTACCGTCACACATATTGCAATTACATAATAAAAAAAAAGTAAAACCAATCAAAACAAAGAATAAAATCATTACCGGACTTCACAACAAGATCATAGGAAATCAGCAATGGCTAACATAATGTTTTATTCAAAATAGCTGTTCATACCACCACATGTAATCAAATCAATCCTTTTAAGCACTTTAGGAGAAGTTATAGGCATGTATAAGCCTATATACATACATCTATCTTTTCTGTATTGGAGGGAAAAACAAAACAAATTATGAGAAAAACAAGAAACAAAAGAGACAAATAACTAGCACAAAACAATGACAATATAGGCTTTCAAAACAAGGTGGTAGGAACATAACTAAGGTTTTTATTTTGCATAGTTATCTTCAAGAGTTACTCAGATTGCCAGATATAAACATGCAAAATTGATCTAATCCTATGAATTAACTGTTTTGTTCCAAAACTAATAGAATTAGTAGCACAGTCATCTTAGCTATCTTAAGTGTGATACATATTTATGTTTTTTTTCTTTTCTCCTTTTTTCTGAGTTACTTTTTCCCCTTTGGGCAATTTCTTGATTTTTGAGTGTTGACTTTGTATCCAGCTATATTACTGAATTTGGTTATTATACCTAGAAGTCTTTCAATTGAGTTTTGGGAGTCTTCTATGTAGAGTATCATGTCACCTGCAAATAATTATATTTTAACTTCTTTTTTTCCTATCCTTATTCCTTTTACTTCTCTCTCTTGTCTAATTGCTCTGGCTAGTATTTCCAGCACTATATTGAATAGGAGTGGTGATAATGGACATCTTTGTCTTGTACCTGATTGTACTGTGAAAGCTTGCAGTTTTTGACCATTTAATGTGATGCTGGCTGTTGATTTGTCATAGATGGCTTTCATCAGATTGAGGTAAAGACCATCTATTCTGATTTTCCATAGGGTTCTTATCATGAAAAGTGTTGGACTTTATCAAAAGCTTTTTCTGGATCCAATGAAATATTCATGTTAGTTTTATCTTGGCTCTATTGATATGGTGGATTACATTTATTGATTTGTGTATGTTGAACCATCCCTGCATTCCTGGGATGAATCCCACTTGGTCATGGTGTATGATATTCTTGATTATTTGCAGCATTCTGTTTTCCAGTATTTTTTTTTTTTGGTCCTGGGGAGCAAACCTTGTGCTTACATCACTGAGCTAAATCCCTGGTCCTGTTTGCCAGTATTCTATTGAGAATTTTTGCATCTATGTTCAGTAGGGACATTGCCTTGTAGTACTCTTTTTTTGTTGGATCTTCCTTTGGTCTTGGTATTAGGGTAATACTTGCTTCCAGTAATGAATTAGGGAGAATTGCTTCCCTTTCAATTTCATTGAAGAGTTTAAGGAATTTCTTGGAGAATTCAGCAGTAAATCTGTCAGGACTTGGGCTTCTCTTTGTTGGTAAGGTTTTTTCTTTTTCTTTTTTATTGGTACCAGGGATCGAACTCACTACTGCCTGCTTGCAAGGCAGGTGCTTATGCCGCTGAGCTAAATCCCCACCCCCTGTTAGTAAGGTTATAATTACACTTTCAATTTCACTAATTGAAATTAGGTTATTCAGCAGTTTTATATCTTCTTGATCCAGCTTTGGGAATTCATATGTTTCTAGGAATCTGTCCATTTCTTCTGTGTTATTGAACCTGTGAGAGTAGAGGTTTTCAAAGTAGGTATTAATGAGCTTCTGTATTTCCACAGTCTGTAGTGATTTTGCCCTTTTCATTCCTTATTACATGAATTTGAGTTTTTTCCTTTTTTAAGGTTGGCTAGGGGCTTATCAATTTTATTTACTCTTTCAAAGAACCAACTCTTTGATTCTTTGTATTGTTTTCTTAGTCTCTATTGCATTGATTTCTGCTCTGATCTTTATAATTTCCTCATTTCTTCTGGCTTTGGGCTTGACTTTCTCTTCTTTTTCTAGATGTTTGAGGTATCACATCAGGCTGTTTATTTGTGT